GGGGGGCATTTTTGCCCCCCGTATCCCCGAAACTACTGGACGGATTCAAACGGCGTTCGATAGCCCTGTCAAATTTGTCTCAGGAAACCAAATTTCATTGACCTCGGGGTCACCGATGACCTCACAGGTCAGGTCAAAGATAAAATGTTTCACCGTTCACAGGGCTTCTAGGGAAAGCGCTATAACACAGAGTAAAACGCATTTTGTCGAAAATCAGCGATAGGGCGTCAGTTTTCTAGTACATATGTTGCTAATAGAGGTCACTGGTCATACCAGGTCAGGTCACCAAAGGTCACCAAGGATCACCACATGAACCCAACTTCACTAAGGTTGTGCGATGCATGTTTTATGGCCAGTTTTTCATTTCCAACTCAATGGTGTTGGTTATAAGACCATCAGGTATGGTTTAGGTGACTGTCTGGTGGAGGTCAGGTCAAGGTCAGGTCAAAAAAGGTCAAACTTCAAAGTTGATATTTTTGCATAAAATGGGTATTGATTCGATGCAGCTTGTCACGGTGAGTCAAATAGTGGTCTTTCTTTTGCGCTACGAGGTCTAGAATTGCTAAAACTTGAGTTTTAAAATTTGACGTCATCAATTTTGAAGTTTTTTTTTCGCTATAACTTGGCCCAAAAAAGAGATATCGATCTCAAATTTGGTATTTGGATAGAACGTGGTAGGGAATATCACATATATTCCGTTTTTTTTTTTCGACATTCAAAAAGCTTTTGGGATTTTTCGGCTATTATATTCAAAAAATATATTTTTTTATTTCTGGGGGTCAAAATAAAAAAAATAAAAAATCCGAGATAGCAGTTTTGTAGCCCTCCTAATTCTACATCTCTTATGTCTGAAACATTTTTCTGTATCTCTAAAGCTGTAGGCCTGACAGCTCTTCCCGCGAAACCTTTTTTTGGGTCGAAAATGGCAAAAATGACGTCACTCTGACGTCATTAGCGGCCAACCTATCATAGCCTTTGGAAAAAAATTGGTCACAATGTGCAATAGCTATTCACGGGAGGGTACTGAAAGTTTGGTGACGATTGGCGCAGCGGTTCTCGAGATATATCGAAAAAATTCAAGGGGGGGGGGGCAAAAAAATGCCCCCCATCGCCTGGAAGGTTAAATCTTTTACTAAAACGTTTGGTAGCACGCGGTGGTATATGCTGCTTTGCCCGCAATAAGAGCCGCACTTTCACATTAACCCGCGCCCCACTGGGGTCTGCGTATAACACGCCCTACTGGGGGGGGGGGGGGGGCTATTCATAGCCCCCCCTCCTAACTCCGAAACTACTGGGCCGATCGTCAAAATTCAAACGGCGTCTGATAGCCCCGGAAAAACTGTCGAGCGAAACCTAATTTCATTGACCTCGAGGTCACCGATGACGTCACAGGTCAGGTCAAAGTAAAAATTATTAGCATTTTGGTTTGTTCACGTTTTGGGCTCTGGCCGCCGTCCTACAAGTCAGATCAGGCTCATTTTTGGTTCACACACTCGTGAACAGATGCTCTAGATACCCTGAGGGTACCAAACTTGTACTTTGATTTTCAGGTCAAGGTCAGGTCATCACAGGTCACGAAAATATTATATCATGCGTCGGTCACGTGACACATGTTTTATGGTCCATTTAGGCCAAAGATTTCGAATTTGATGTCGTCTGTGTCATTCGAGGTCATTTTGAGTCAAATTTAGCTTAGGTCAGGTCACTTTCAGGTCAAAAAAGGTCAAATTTTGAAGTTATAATTTTTCAACAGAAAAGGTGTCTATTGGATGCAGTTTGAGCTCAGGAACACGATGGTGCTATTTATATTGGCGTACGATGTCAAATACGTGGTGAAAAATTGATTTGAAAAATTAATAATTGTGAATTTTTTGCAATAATGCGTATAACTTGGCCATTTTTGAAGATATTTAGCTGAAACTTGCTAGAGTTAGTCATAATAACGCGTTCTATCACATATATTCCGGTTTTTTCGAAAAGTCAAAAACTTTTTGGAAAAAATGTAAAAATGTAAATTTTGAATTTTATTATATAAAATTTTCGAAATTTTCAAAATTTCGAAAATCCGAGATAGCAGTTTGATAGCGCAGTCAATTCTGAGTCCTCTCATGCAAAGAAATTGGATCTAGCTTAAAAACTGAGCCCTTGGGAGCGATTGCCGTGGTTCGATGTTTTGCGTCGAAATCGGCCGAACATGACGTCACTCTGACGTCATTTCCGGCCGACCTATGGTAGCTACGAAGTTCAAATTTTGACACAAGGTGTCAAATTGATGCAGCCGAAGGTACTGAAAGTTTGGCGTCGATACGTCAAGCGGTTTGGAAGTTATTGCAGAAAAACGGGAGGGGGGGCTATAAATAGCCCCCCCCCCAGTGGGGCGCGGGTTAAGTCGCTAGGAACAGGGGAGATCACGAAAAGTAAACAAAGGTAAAAGTCTAATATCTTAAAAACCAGTGAATATTTTTTCGGTGAACTTAAGTAAATATTCGTTTTTGCTCTTTCTGAACCGAGCGACATTATCTTCATTCATGCCAATTCATTAACTTTTTTGAAGGTGGGAGGGCCCTTTTGACCTGGCTCGTGGTGGGAACTACGAGAAGTGTAGGCATCTACTCAACCCGAACAGACATTGCTCAGATAAATAACTGATTGCGTTTTATTGGCTCTTGATAGCTAACATTTTAGAAAATGTATTCCTTGGCGTTGATAAACAGGCCTTTTTCATAGATAAGTTGGCTCTAAGTCCTATCTGTGCGCGAATTAATAAACGTCAAGGGAGCTTTGCATTCCCTACGAGCTCAGCGCTCCGTTTCTGAAGGCTGTGCTTCTAGCGATAAATAGATCAACTCAGCCCCCGTTCACGAGCTTCAGAATTCCTTTACCGTGACGTCATCACGGCGCATGAATTTTCCTTCACCCATAGAAATGCATGCAAAGCATGGTGTGTTTCAGGCGGGCTAAGGAGAAATCTAAGGCCTACATGTGTTCAAAAGACGTACCACTAAGCCAATGGATTCGGCTCATTACGATAAATGGGGTTGAAATCGAAAAAATCGGCCTATATTTGACTAAAATGGGCCTGTCAAATGGTCCTTGCAACTCATAATGAAGGATTTCCTCTGCGTTAAAAAAATTGTTTCTTGTGATTTTTATCAGCTACAGGGGAAATCCTTCATAATTGCTACCAGATTACTACCATATTCCCTCGCATTTCTGTTGCGCATTGCCTCACAAATCAGAGTTTTGTGAAGTTTATATTAATTTAATTGTCATATTTCGACTGATTTTGGCGATTTTCAATTATTTCAACGCAGCATGGATCAGATAGCTCTCATAGTTTGCTGAAGAATGTGGCTTTTGCTTGGTTATTTTCAAGTTATCTGTGATTTGGTGCGCCGTGATCGTAGCATTATACAAATTACCTACATCAACTTTAAAAATTGAATCAACTTTTGAAGTGAAGTTCACATGAAATATTAAAAGTTCAAGCATAATAATTGTTTAAACATAATGATGCAACATGTGTCTCCCAGATGGAACTTATATTTCAATTAAAAACTGAAAATGGAAAACAGAAGATGGATCTGCGGAGTTACTGAGATCACAAGGTGCTCTTGATTGTTGGTAATTGAAGATGTTGAGAGAACTTGTGAATCTGCATACCAGTCCTGACTTGCTTGATTGTTTAAAACTATTTTAATTCTCATAATTGTGTAATGTGTAGTGACTGTGCACACTGCGCAGCACATGTGCGCAGAAATGTGCAGGTGGCTGGTAGGTGGGTTAAACTTCGGAGATGCGAATTTGGATGTCAGTTATAAAATAAATGGTTATGCCTTGTAGAGTAAGCTCTGCTGTTTTTTTGTAATTGTCTTTTTTATAATTGTAACCTACAATGCTGTTAGTTTCATTTTTATTTAAATGCTTGACCAGAATTTGCACTTGTTCATGCATGAATGGCTAAGTTTGGGGTGTTTATTCAACCCTGACTGCTCAAGTTTTTCAAAGGCACATGACACAGCACAGCTAGATCAGCTGGTACCTACCTGTTGACTATTTTTGTTTTTGGTGGTGATGTGTTTGCTGTTTGTCTTTTGCAAGGTGGTCAATGAAATAAAATAATGCATTATTTTGGAATGTTTCCTTGACAGAAGCCAGGAGCCGGATTGATGTGTGCTGGTGAATGAGATGGTTCAAAAGCATTATCTGATGTTTTTCAATGTGCATAAGCCATAACATCCCTTTCATACGCTGAAGTTTTAATAGCTTCTCAGTCTCTGTCATTTTCCTGAAATATTGGTGTACAGTAGATAAGAGATATCAGTAGGTACCTTCTCAGAGGTACCTGCCTTCTGCTGGATGAATATTTGGTTGGACGAAATGGAAAGGTAGCCTTATGATAATGTAATGTAAAATCTTATTTCTATAAAACTTTGAAAATGAAGTTCTAATTATTCATATGTGCATACATTTTTGATGACTAAGAAAGTTTTCCACAAGAGTAGAAAATGTGGGAAAGTCTATCAAATAACACATTCTGAAGGCTCAATGCTGACAGAGTGCTGCCTCAAAGAATAACTGACTTGCTGGGTTACGAATATTTCTTTATTTTAGTTTTCAAATGTAATGTACAATACATTGCAGTGAAATAACAAAATAGTGCAGCAAAATAGTATTGGCGACGATCAAACAACACGTGCGCCATTGATGTCTGCAAAAATTGCTACCAGATTGCTACCAAATCCGTGACGTCACCACGGCGCCTTTATTTCCCTAGTGAACCAACCTGAGTAGTAAAGTAATCTTGAGATCAACTCATGGGCGCTGATGGCTTGTCGCGTCAACATTGCCGCTGCCGTCCACGGCGCTCACCAAGGTGATCTGGAAACGTGACCAGCTGCGTGGGTCACCTCTGGGCGTCGAGATTGTTCCAGTGTATGTGCGACTTGTTTGGCATGGAACGTTTTTAATGGCCTTTCTTCTTCTTGCGTATTCTTCAGGCATCAGTGGCTCGGTCCAACGTCCCCACTTCGACTTCCGATGTCTGGGACAACATTATCTGGATGGACATGTGAAGACAAGTCACGGCCACATCGACAGGAACGGCAGATTCAAGTGCGAGTGTTGTCAGTACTCGACCGACAGGTCCAGAGACATGAAACACCATCGAAGGACTCACACTGGGGAGCGGCCGCACCGCTGTGATATCTGTACGACACGGTTCATTTTACAGTCACACCTCACGGCACACATGCTGACTCACACTGGGGAGAGGCCGTTTGGCTGCTCTGTCTGCACGGCACGGTTCGCTGTTCGGTCACACCTCAACAACCACATGCGGACCCACACTGGGGAGCGGCCGTACGGCTGCTCCATCTGCACGGCACGGTTCACTGAACGGTCTACCCTCACTAGACACATGCGGACCCACACGGGGGAACGGCCGCACGGCTGCTCCATCTGCACGGCACGGTTCGCTGTTCGGTCACACCTCAACAGACACATGCGGGCTCACACTGGGGAGCGGCCGTACGGCTGCTCCATCTGCACGGCACGGTTCGCTGAACGGTCTACCCTCACTAGACACATGCGGACCCACACGGGGGAACGGCCGCACGGCTGCTCCATCTGCACGGCACGGTTCGCTGTTCGGTCACACCTCAACAACCACATGCGGACCCACACTGGGGAGCGGCCGCACGGCTGCTCCATCTGCACGGCACGGTTCTCTGAGCGGTCAAACCTCATCACACACATGCGTACCCACACTGGGGAGCGGCCGTACGGCTGCTCTATCTGCACGGCACGGTTCACTCAACGGTCCACCCTCACCAGACACATGCGGACTCACAATGGGGAGCGGCCGTACGGCTGCTCCATCTGCACGGCAAGTTTCACTAAACGGGTCAGCCTCACTCAGCACATGCGGACCCACACGGGGTAGCGGCCGTACGGCTGCTCCATCTGCACTGCACGGTTCTCTGTTCGAGCAAGCCTAATCAACCACATGCGGACCCACACAGGGGAACGGCCGTACGGCTGCTCCATCTGCACGGCACGATTCACTAAACGGTCTAACCTCAACAACCACATGCGGACTCACACCGGGGAGCGGCCGCACGGCTGCCCTATCTGCAATGCACGGTTCACTGAGCAATCAAGTCTTATCAAACACATGCGGACTCACACTGGGGAGCGGCCCTACGGCTGCTCTATCTGCAAGGCACTGTTCACATACCGGTCACACCTTACCAGACACATGCGGACCCACACTGGGGAGCGGCCGTACGGCTGCTCCATCTGCATGGCACTGTTCACATACCGGCAGACCTCACTACACACATGCGGACCCACACTGGGGAGCGGCCTTATGAGTGCTCACACTGCCAGGCCCGGTTCGCTCAACGGGCATATCTCTTCAGACACATGCGGACCCACGCGAAGAGCGGCCACACTGCTGGCTCGGTTGTTTGACACACAGACAGTAAGCCACTTTTCGGTGGTACACAGTTTTTATTATTACACAGGTAGGTATGACCGATGCAGTAAATGATTTCAAATTTCATTGACGAAATGCAGTGTTGAGTCGTGTCAAGTAACATCAACAAGTGCATGGCCGGCAGCCGTTGTTCGTTTGATATTAGGGTTACAGATGTGGTTCTCGTTGGTGAGCGTCGTGGCTACGCGCGTCACATCTGGTTTGTTTGTATTTACACAGGATGATTCAGTGGTTGTGTTTTTAAGTAGCCGCCTTTACATAGGAGGTAAGGAGTGTCGATGTTTGGTACAGCGTCGTAGCGCTGTAATTTGTGAATAGTATCCGGCATTGAATGACATTGCCTCTTTTTTGCTGTTACGACTCACTCGCATTCGTGGCATTTCGTATGTTCTGCGCAGCTTTTGTCGATAAGGTGCAGGTTAAAACATCGGGATGGCATGTTAATCTTACAACTCTCTATCCATCTTTTATAAACGCGGCTACTGTAAGATATACGAGTACGACGTACAAACTGTCTGGACCTACAAGCCTGACTGGGTGTTGTCGGGTCCCCTTCGGCAGACGATGTGCCGTCAAAGGCTGAAAGCGTTTTATAGAAGAATGTACTGACGTTTCATCAGGACACATGTCTCCTAACCGATACCTTCTACTTGTTCCGTAGTGTGATGGTGTTCATGTGCAAGCACAAATATTGCCATGGCCCAATAAACGCGTGTTGATGAATGTTAGGCTATTTTGAAGTTATTACATGTTTCACCTCTGTTGGGCTCTTCTTTACCCGCGCCTCGCTGAGGGTCTTTGATTTATACGCCCTGCTGGGGAAGTGGGATGTTTGAACACCCCCCCCCCTTCTAGCTCGGCCCCTGGGCCACGTAGCGACACGAGGTAGACGGCATTCGAAAGAACGTCGAAAATAACAACGAATAAAACAGATGTCATTTTTTAACCCTCGCCCTGGCACGGCGTTTCTCATAGCACGGCCTGGCAGGGGGGTCGATGCGACCCCTCTTCCCTCGCGATGGGGTCCTCGTCCTATGGCACCTAGAAACATGAAATTTGGTAGGTAGTTGGGCCCCATGGAGTTCTTCCCCTGTGCAAATTTGGTTGATCTAGGTCAATATTTAGGGGGTTTATGGGGGGTATGAATGTAAAAATTTTGCTTAACCCGGCAGGCGGTGGGCCTACCAGCCACCTTCCGCGCGGTGGGGGGGGGGGGCATTTTTTTGCCCCCCCCCCGTATCTCCGAAACTACTGGACAGATCCGGAAAATTCAAACGACGTTCGATAGCCCTGTCAAATTTGTGGAGGGAAACCAAATTTCATTAACCTCGGGGTCACCGATGACGTCACAGGTCAGGTCAAAGATAAAATCCAAAGGTCACCAAGGGTCACCACAAGAGCCCAACTTTACTAAGGTTATGCGATGCATGTTTTATGGCCAGTTTTTCATTTCCAACTCAATGGTGTTGGTTATAAGACCATCAGGTACGGTTTAGGTCACTTTCTGGTGGAGGTCAGGTCAAGGTCAGGTCAAAGAAATTTCAAAGTTGATATTTTTGCATTAAATGGGTATCGATTCGATGCAGCTCGGCACGGGGAGTCTAATGGTGGTCTTTGTTTTGCGCTACGAGGTCTAGAATTGCTAAAAATTGAGTTTGAAAATTTGACGTCATCAATTTTGAACAGTTTTTTCGCTATAACTTGGCCAAAAAAAGAAGTATCGATCTCAAATTTGGTATGTAGATAGAAGATGGTAGGGACTATCACATATATTCCGTTTTTTTCGAAATTCAAAAAACTTTTTGGATTTTTTGGCTATTTTATTCAAAAAATCAATTTTTTGATTTTTGGGGGTCAAAATAAAAAAAATCGATAAACCGAAATAGCAGTTTTGTAGCCCTTTTGATTCTACACCTTTTATGTCTTTTACGAAACCTTTTTTTCTGGTCGAAAATGACAAAAATGACGTCACTCTGACGTCATTAGCGGGCAACCTATCATCACCTTTGGAAAATTTTGGTCACCATGTGCGCTAGCTGCTCGCGGGAGGGTACTGAAAGTTTGGTGACGATCGGCGCAGCGGTTCTCGAGATATATTGAAAAAACTAAAGGGGGGCAAAAAAATGCCCCCCACCGCCTGGAAGGTTAAGAAAAACCACAGGGGGGCAAAATGGCCCCCATCAGGGCGCGGGTTAACACTACAATTTGTGTGAGGAATACCCGGTAATTTTGAGATAATGCTTCTTTTTTGGCTTCGGCTCCCTCTCGTATTCGCAGTATTTCGTATTATCTGCGCACTTTTGTGGACAAGTAGCGGGTCAAACGTATGTCGGCATGTCGTCCAGATGTTACAGGTCTCTATTCATCCTGTATAAACGCAGCCCTTATTAGATATGTGCTGTTTGTTTATAGGCGTGACGGGATGTTTCTGGTCTTGCCGCCTTCGGCGGATTACGTGCCGCTAAAGGGTGAAATAAAAGTAGCATTGCTAGATAGAAAAATGTACCTACTGAGTTTTCTTTGGACATATGTGTATGGATCAATACCTACCCACTACTGTGCCGCAGTGTTTTGTTTATGTACATTTTCAAGTTCAAATATTGCCATGGCCGAATGAACGCGTATTAGGTAATAAAGAAAATGATCGTTACTACCCTTTCCATCATGTATGTATGTAGGTATTTCAAGTGACCATCCCACCTTAACATTAGTTTTGAGTTGAGATAGCCAAAATGGGGTCCCTGGCCTGCACTTAACTACTGGTTCAAGCATTCACAACATCGATAAATGCCTCAAATCGAAAATATCTAATTTCAAAGTTGCAGCACTTTGGATTCAAAGGGGCAAATGCGTTAGAATGCCCCTTCTGAATGTGTGACGTCAGTGAAAATCTAACGATTTTCAATCTTTTACTAAAACGTTTGGTAGCACGCGGTGGTATATACTGCTTTGCCCGCAATAAGTGACGCACTTTCAAATAAAGTCGCTAGGAACAGCGGAGATCCCAAAAAGTAAACAAATGTAAAAGTCTAATATCTTGAAAACCGGTGAATCTTTTTTTCGGTGAACGTTGGTAAATATTCGTTTTTGCTCTCTCTGAACCGAGCGACATCGCCTTCATGCCATTCATTAACTTTTTGAAGGTGGGAGGGCCCTTTTGACCTAGTTCGTGGTGTAAACTACGAGAAGTGTAGGCATCTACTCCAACCAAACAGATATTGCTCAGATAAATAACTGATTGCGTTTTATCGGCCCTTGGTGGCTAACATTTTAGAAAATATATTCCTTGGCGTTGGTAAACAGGCCTTTTTCATAGATAACTTGGCTCTAAGTCCTATCTTAGTGCGAGTTGGTAAATGTCAAGGGAGCTTTGTATTCCCTACGAGCTCAACGTTCTCTTTCTGGAGGCTGTATTTTTAACAATAAACTGATCAACTCATGGGCGCTGATGGCTTGTCCCGTCAACATAGCCGTTCACCGCCCACGGCGCTCACCAAGGTGACCTGGAAACGCGACCCGCTGCGTGGGTCATCTCTGGTCGTCGAGATAGTTCCAGTGTTTGTGTGTGTGAGCTGGTTTGTTACGAAACGTTTTTAATGGCCTTTCTTCTTCTTGTGTATTCTTCAGGTATCAGTGGCTCGGTCCAGTGTCCCCACTGCGGCTTCCGATGTCTGGGACAACAACATCTGGACGAACACGTGAAGAAAAGTCACAGTCGCATCGGGAAGAACGGGAGATTCAAGTGCGAGCAGTGTCAATACTCGACCGACAGGTCCACAAACATGAAACACCACCAAAGGACTCACGCTGGGGAACGGCCGTACCGCTGCTCTATCTGCAGGGCCCGGTTCACTGAACGGGGAAATCTCATCAAACACATGCGTACCCACACGGGGGAGCGGCCGTACGGCTGCTCACACTGCCAGGCCCGGTTCGCTCAACGGGCACACCTCACTACACACATGCGGACCCACACGGGGGAGCGGCCGTACGGCTGCTCACACTGCGAGGCCCGGTTCGCTGAACGGGGAAATCTCATCAAACACGTGCGTTCCCACACGGGGGAGCGGCCGTACGGCTGCTCACACTGCCAGGCCCGGTTCGCTAACCGGTCTCACCTCACTACACACATGCGGACTCACACTGGGGAGAGGCCGTACGGCTGCTCTATATGCACTGCACGGTTCATTGATCGATCACACCTCACCAGACACATGATGACTCACACTGGGGAGCGACCGTTCGGCTGCTCCATCTGTACTGCACGGTTCACTCAACGGTCAAGCCTAAACAATCACATGCGGTCCCACACGGGGGAGCGGCCGTACAGTTGCTCCCGGTGTCAGGCCCGGTTCGCTGAACGGGGACACCTCAAGGCACACATGAGGACCCACACGGGGGAGCGGCCGCACGGCTGCTCCATCTGTACTGCACGGTTCACTCGACGGTCAAGCCTAAACAATCACATGCGGTCCCACACGGGGGAGCGACCGTACAGTTGCTCCCGGTGTCAGGCCCGATTCGCTGAACGGGGACACCTCAAGGCACACATGAGGACCCACACGGGGGAGCGGCCGCACGGCTGCTCCATCTGTACTGCACGGTTCACTCGACGGTCAAGCCTTAACAATCACATGCGGTCCCACACGGGGGAGCGGCCGTACAGTTGCTCCCGGTGTCAGGCCCGGTTCGCTGAACGGGGAAATCTCATCAAACACATGCGGACTCACACGGGGGAGCGGCCGTACGACTGCTCCATCTGCAAGGCACGGTTCTCTGAGCGGTCAAACCTCATCACACACTTGCGGACCCACACGGGAGAGCAGCCATACGGCTGCTCCATCTGCATGGCACGGTTCGCTCGACGAGGGAATCTCATCAAACACATGCGGACCCACACGGGGGAGCGGCCGTACGGCTGCTCCATCTGTACTGCACGGTTCACTCAACGGTCAAGCCTAAACAATCACATGCGGTCCCACACGGGGGAGCGGCCGTACAGTTGCTCCCGGTGTCAGGCCCGGTTCGCTGAACGGGGACACCTCAAGGCACACATGAGGACCCACACGGGGGAGCGGCCGCACGGCTGCTCCATCTGTACTGCACGGTTCACTCGACGGTCAAGCCTAAACAATCACATGCGGTCCCACACGGGGGAGCGGCCGTACAGTTGCTCCCGGTGTCAGGCCCGGTTCGCTGAACGGGGAAATCTCATCAAACACATGCGGACTCACACGGGGGAGCGGCCGTACGACTGCTCACACTGCCAGGCCCGATTCACTCAACGGGCACACCTCACCAAACACATGCGTACCCATGCGAAGTGCAACCGCACTGCTGCCACTTCTGTCTAACGGTTCGGCAGTTTGACTCACAAAAGTCAGTTTTAAGTGGTACACAGTTTTGAGAATTACACAGGTTTGATGCGGTAAATGCTTTGATTAGCGAAATTCAATGCTGAAACGTGTTGACAAGTGCGTGGCCGGCCGCCGTTGTACGTTAGTTATTGGTGTTATAGATGTGATTCTCGTTTGTGAGCTTCGTGGCTACCAGTGTCATATCTGGTTTGTTTGTTCTTATCCAGTGTGATTCAGTGCTTGTGTTTTAAACTAGCCACCTTAACTCACTCCCCACGGGGGGGGCTATACATAGCCCACTCCCGTTTTTCTGCAATAACCTCCAAATTGCTTGACGTATCGACGCTAAACTTTCAGTACATTCGGCTGCATCAATTTAACACCTTGTGTCAAAATATGAACTTCGTAGTTACCATAGGTCGGCCGGAAATGACGTCAGAGTGACGTCATGTTCGGCCGATTTCGACACAAAACATTGAACCACGGCAATCGCTCCCAAGAGCTCAGTTTTTAACGCCACGGTAAATGCTTTGATTAGCGAAATTCAATGCTGAAAAGTGTTGACAAGTGCGTGGCCGGCCGCCGTTGTACGTTAGTTACTGGTGTTATAGATGTGATTCTCGTTTGTGAGCTTCTTTGAGCGATAACAAACAAAATAACATTTACCAGCTAACACAAATGCACTTGCTTCTCGGGCAGTGCGCGATCGGCACCACCACGTCGCGCAACGTCACCAACGATGTCCCGATCACCGTCTCGCGCGCGGTCCTCGATTCGCTCCTCGTCCTCGTCCTCGATCCTCTGGGCATCTTCAGGCTTCAGCCAGCTGCAGCCACGCCGGCCAGCCCGCCTTCGCCGCGACTCGTGCGTACCCCGCCGGCGACAGGTGCACGCCATCGTCGTCGTAATGGAGCAGCGCGGCACGGGACAGCACATACGCCGACACCTTACGCCCCTGGCGCCGCCGCTCCAACACGCATCGTCCTACGGACACGTGCTTGATGCGCATGTCGCTCTCGAGCGGCTCCCCCAGCCACCGGGTGACTGGTCGGTCGAGGTGTTTGAAAGCCGCCGTCGCTTCCCACTGGGCTTCCCCCTCGCCGACCAGCGCGGCGCGGGGAGGGCTTCCCTCGGCCCCCCTCCGGGCCCACAGCAGGGGAGCATCACGCCTGGGCCTCGGCGTCGGTCCGAGCAGGATCACCGGCGCGATGTCCCTGGCCAAGCTCGTGACGGTGGTCTTGAGCTGTCGCCATACGGCTCCATCGAGACGGTCGGGAGCGGCCCCCAACGGGTATACGTCAATGCCCCCGAGCCATACTGCCACTTCTGATGGCTGGGGGCCTCTTCGGCGTGCCGCTTTGCTCCACTCTTCCACTTTGCGCGCCAGGGCACCGGAGCGGACACAGCCGGCCCAGGTCTTGCCGACCTGTGCAGAGGGCACCCACACGGTGACCTCCCACTCGCCCATTCGCGGAAGAAAGCCGGCTCGTCGGGCGAACGAGCCCCCACGAGCAGCCCCGCCCGGAGGGGCGGACCCACGCCGCTCCCCCCGGTCCCGAAGGAGCGCATGGCGTCTCGCACCAGTGCAGGGCTTCGCAGGAGAGAGCAGCACCCGCCTCCAAGAGCCTGCTGAGGGGGTGGTAGGCGGACGTTGCCCTCCACGGTCACGGTCACGGACGCGCCCTCGCCGCCTCCGTCCACGGTCCGGGAGGGCGGGCTCACGCCGCTCCTCCCGACCACGGAGGCGGTGATGGGTCCGTGCCCGGTCAGGATCGGGACACCGCTGAAGTTACGGGCAAACGCCGAATACTTCAACGTGTCAGGACACACAGTTGAAAAAGGAACAATGCCCGCAGGGGAGTACGGCTAAACACGCGGATGTTTCAGCAGTACGATGTAAAAGAATATGTACAAATTTAAGCGCAATAATTCCTCTCGGGAATTTTCCCAACTGTGAGCAGTCGCGTAGCTTGGTGTGGCATCCACGGCGAGGCGGACCTGGTCCCTTGTCCTACCGACCGCGCCAATGTTGAGATTCGCCTCCCACCGCCGTGCTCCAACACCAACAGGTCACCGGTGCTGATGTATTGGTCTTACACGCTCTGCACCGCGCCGCTCCGTCGTCGGTCAGGGCCCACGCCTGACTCCCCGCCCGGCCGGCCGCTCCGCTGACCCGGGCTGGGTCGCTCGCCGGCCCGCCGCCAGGCGGCAGCACCGGACGGGGGCGGCGGCGGCCGGTCACCACGCGGATACATATTTATACGAAATCCCGACAATATATAGGGGAGAGTGGGGAAAGATGCCCAGGGTTTTACTATGTCATATATTATTCGAAAATGACGATGGGAAAGCAAAAACTTGGAGTTTCAACGGAAGCCGACATCATTTTTCTCCAAAAATATCACACTTTCGTGCCTGAAATATTATTACTTTTTTTGCTATTAAGCATTTTCCTGAAGAAGTGAAAGGGGGCATCTTACCCCACAGGGTGGGAAAGACGCCCCCTGACGTTGGGAAAGATGCCCCCTGCACTATAAGTGACATAAATGGGCACGTGAATCGCCTGAACGAATCAGTAGTCCCTTCGAGCCTGCAGTAGACACCAAACGTCATCATAAGGGCCCTCAAAAGTAGTCGTAAGGGGCTTCAGAGGTCATCGTTAGGGCCATCATAGTCCAGCGCGGCCAAACAAGCCTACGTGGTGGCGTTCGGAGACCACCGTGGGGCTCTTATAGGTCTTCATGATGCTTGAGGGCCCTCGAGCCCATCGTGGGAACCTCCGATGCCAGTGCGGCCCGTGGGGCCAACGTGGGAGCCCTCAAAGGATGTCGTGAGGGGCCCTGGAGCCAATAATTGGGCCCACAGAGGCCGTCGTGAGGGCTCTCAGAGTCAGATGCCGCCCAAAAAGTCGCTATGTGGGCCGAGAGACCGGCATGGGGAGCACCCGACCGTACTGGACTCTCAATAGTCCCAGATCGGCTTTTGTCTACATCACAAGTATGTAATAAATGATTTGACGGGCTGTTTGAAGGACAGCCTACGGATTTAGGGGGGCGTCTTTCCCCATCAGGACAGGGGGCATCTTACCCCAAGGTACCGAAGTAACATTAAATCAGTACAATTTGTTAGCCATAAAACTACACCATGAAACAAACTGTTTGGGACACAGTACACGCATGCTAATGTATCACGACTATAGCAAGGGACGCAAAAATTATTTACCTTCTTTGATATTTACAATGATATTTCCGTAACCCGACTGCCCCTCCCATCTCGGCTGCTACACGAGACCTGATGTGTCGCCGCCGCGCCGCCCTGCGCGCGGGTGGACGGAGCGCGCCCGAGTACCGCCAGCTTAACCGTGCCGTGCGAGCTGCCATCCGCCGTGATACCCGACAGAGTATCGAGGAGGGTATCAGGGAGCGCGGGCCGCGGGCCGCCTGGCGGAGCGTGCGGGGGGTTGTGGCTGGCAAGCGCTCTGGCACACCGGTGCTACCTCAGCTACCCAGCGAGGAGCTGAACCACTTCTTCGTCTCTGTCGGACCGCGAGTGGCCGCCGAGGTGGCGGACCGGGACCGGGGTGCTGCTCGATCCGTCGCGTGCCGTTTACCGCGTGTGGGGGCGTGTGGTTTTACTGTATCACCTATCGATATTGACACTTTGACCAGCACGCTGCTCAGCATGCGCAACTCGACCGCCCGCGGTGCTGATGATATCTGTATCAGGGTGCTGAAGGCCAGTTTCCCCGCTGTCGGCGCCGTACTCCTTCACATCATCAACTCCTGCCTGACCCAGTCTGACTATCCTGCTTCCTGGAAACACTCCCTTATCCACCCTATCCACAAGTCCGGTGACCCTTCCGACCCATCCAATTTCCGACCAATCTCAATCATTCCAGTCATCTCAAAGGTAGTGGAAAAGGTGGTTCAGCACCAACTTTACCACTACCTATCCTCAAACCACCTCCTCTCTCCCAACCAGCACGGTTTCCGTCCACACCATTCGACGGAAACCGCGCTGGTGACAGTCACCGACGACATCCTTAGTGCCGCCGACGGCGGGGAGATCTCTCTTCTGTGCCTAATAGATTTAAGCAAGTGTTTCGATGTCATTGACCATGATATACTACTCAGCAAACTGCACTTGTACGGCATCGACACTGCATGGTTTGCGGCCTACCTGAGCGGTCACACTCAGAGCGTGACTCTGCGTGACTGCGCCGGCGCCCAGCGTGTCTCGCCCCCGCTCCCCAACTCTATGGGCGTGTTCCAGGGCTCTGCCCTGGGGCCATTGCTGTTTACGGTGTTCTCAAACGACCTGTCACTCCATGCAAACGATGCCAAGGTTCTGCAGTACGCTGACGACACCCAGGTGATGGTCTCAGGCAAAAAGAGCGAACTTTCGGCGCTCATCTCTCGAATGGAAAATTTTCTCGCATCTTTGGATAACTGGTTCTGCGCGAACGCCCTCAAGGTCAACGCGAACAAAACTCAACTCATTGCTCTTGGAAACCGTCAAAATTTGCGCAAACTACCAAATTTCACAGTCGCCTTCCGTGACACAAATCTCGTGCCTTGTAACGAGGTGAAAAATCTGGGTGTGACTTTCGACTCAAACATGTCCTGGGACTGTCACGTGGGTGCCGTCAGCCGCCGCTGCACTGGGACCCTCATCGGTCTCTCACAGGTACGACACGTCGTGCCCCGGGGCATATTCGTCTCTCTTGTGACAGCCCTGGTTCTCTCGCAGGTTCGCTATTGCATATCAGTTTATGGCAACGGCTCAAAAAAGAACACAGCTAGAATCCAAAAAATCCTTAACTTTGCAGCAAAAGTTATTTTCGGCCGGAGAAAATTTGACCATGCGAGTGACCTGCTGGAGAACCTGGGCTGGCTGGGGGCTCAGCAACTCGCTGAGTACAGTACGCTCTGCCTCACGCAGAAACTGCTCTCGAGTGGCGAGCCAGTCTCCCTCGCGGCCGTCCTCCGCTCGAACTCGGACGTACGTGAGCGCACGACCAGGCAGGACAGTCATCTCCATGTACCACGGTCAAGAACCGAGGCGGGGAAACGGCGTTTCTGTGCGAGAGCCCCGAGGCTTCACAACCAGCTGCCACCTGAGACCGTTTCCCTCAGAGGGAAACGCTTCCAACGAGCCCTGAAGCGACAGATGCGGAGCCGGACGCTGTCTTTAAACTGAAGTAAGGTCGTCTGACTCAGTGTGTGTGCGTGTGTGTGTGTGACTTGGTATGTTTCCGTTGGATGACTAATTGTTTTGTACACATCTGGTATCTACCCTATTCTCTGACTCGGAGCTTGAAAAGCCACTGTTGCTGTGGAGTGCTCTTCAAAATAAATACAAATACAAATACAAATACAAT